GGCTGTTGGGGGACAGTTCCTACTCTGTTGGTTGCCCTACTTTTCTTTCCACCTATATGTTGCTCTGAGTGCTCAGCCCATGTCGACCGGGCAAGTGGAGAATGTGGTGACTTGGATCGGCTACTTCTGCTTCACTTCCAACCCTTTCTTCTATGGATGTCTCAACCGGCAGATCCGCGGGGAGCTCAGCAAGCAGTTTGTCTGCTTCTTCAAGCAGGCCCCAGAGGAGGAGCTGAGGCTACCTAGCCGGGAGGGCTCCATTGAGGAGAACTTCCTGCAGTTCCTTCAGGGGACTGGCTGTTCCACCGAGTCCTGGGTTTCCCGACCCCTACCCAGCCCCAAGCAGGAGCCAGCTGCTGTTGACTTTCGGATTCCAGGCCAGATAGCTGAGGAGACCTCTGAGTTCCTGGAGCAACAACTCACCAGTGACATCATCATGTCAGACAGCTACCTCCGCCCTGCCCCCTCACCTTGACCTGAATCATGATGGGCTGCTGGACACATGGAGGGAGATGGGGCTGGGGCCGGTTAGGACTGCAAGGAGCACCTTGTGGGATCACTTTTCCCAGCGAGTTGGGGCTGGGGCTGGGTTCTCTGCACACAGCTTTTGTTTAGTGATTTCTGGGTCAGGAACACAGCCAACAGGATGGACATGTGGCAAAAGCCTTGGACATGGCTATGAACCCTGACTATTGGGGGAGGGAACCTGGTGAGATGGTGATGAGAGTAAAGGGTCACGAAGGTGAGAAGATTGATGTCTTTCAACCAGTGAACTTTTCATGCCTCAGGAAGCGGGGAAACTCTGTATGGGTAGGAGTTGGAGGATATAGGGCAGCACACTGGGTTTGGAGTTATTCTGGGGACGCTTTAGGATATTTCATTTTTCAGTGTAATTGTCTGTGTCAGTAATTGCACCCAAGCAAGGTAAGAAAATGACACGTATCTTCTCATCTCCTTGCTAGGTTTAAAAACAACTACTACAGCCAAGTGTTTAGATAGAGTGGAAGGGAGGGAGGAAGTGGAGGGAGAGAAGAAACACTGATGTGAGATGGGGGTGGGGAGTGAACCTGCAACCCAGGTATGTGCCCTTGGCTAGGAATCAAAACCTCGACCCTTTGGTCCTTGGGCCAATGCTCTAACCACTGAGAAAACTGGCCAGGGCCTTTTTCTAGCTTTAGATCTGCGATTTCCTTAAACTGAGAGGACGAGCTGGATATAGTTCTTTCCTGAGTCTGGCCAGAAGCAATGGGAAATAGCAATCAGGGCACAGGGAGGAGAAGACAGGAAAGCTGACTGCAGCTCTCTTTCTCCTACCCTACAGGAACAGCCCTTCTATTCTATTGCTCTGTCTCTCTCCTGCACATGGGAATCAAGCTTGGGGATTTATCTCAGTAGAGTCAAGAATAAGACTCTTGACTTTTAGGATGAAGAAATAGAAAGATTGAGGGTTGGGTGGCTGAAGGTGGGGGTTAGCTTTTTTCAATTTGAGAGAGAAACACCCATGTGAGAAACATCACATCAATTGGTTGCCTCCCACATGTTTCAAACCAGAAACCTGAGTGTGTGCCCTGACCGCGAATCGAGCCCACCACCTTTTGGTGCATGGGATGAGGCTCCAACCGAGCCACACCTACCAGGGCTAGTATTTGAATTGCTAAGGTGGTTGGATACAGAGAGGCTAGGTCATCACCTTTACCAATAATACTGTAAATCTTTTCTTTTTTCTAGGACTGGCCTCCCTGATCTCTCTCCTCATGGCAGTGACCCACCTCCAGCCCCCTGGACAACCGGGTACAGAGACTAAGGTTGGGAATGGGTCGGGTGGGGTTTCCATGATCCATTAAATGCCTCCCTACTACCATTCATCGCTCTCAAAATTAGCTTCAGTGACAAAAACGTAAATCTCTCTCCTATACACAGACCTGGGCTGGGGATAGGGCACAGGAGTGGGGCTCATTTGTTCACTGATTGAGACTGTAGGAACTGTGTTGGTTGGTATTGGTGGTGGTATTTTCAAGGGAGGGGGAATTATTGCAAGCAGGACAGGACATCCATCTGGAACTACTTGTCCATCTACTTCCCTCAACTGAATCAGAAACATTACAGGGTTGAGGCAGGACCAAGAAGGTGGTGTGGTCTGTATATGAACCAAGTCCTGGCTCACTGAGCATCAAAGGGGAAGATTGCCTGGTGGGAGTGGGATAGTTTCCCCTTTGAACAGCCAATAAATACTTTTTATTATAAAGGTTATACTGATATCAACATTGACTCCTTCAGTTCAATTCAGTGCATCATAGTTGAATATCTAATATTCTCTGGGTCCCACTTAGGGGATGTGAAGTCACTGTCTTCAAGGAGTTCATAGTCTAATTTGACCAACTACCTTATATTTTTACAGAGCATTTACATCTGGTAAAGCTCCATAGAGTTGTGTGAAAAATATACTGGAGAAAATATATTAATGGTTTTAAGTTCTGAGAGTTCAGTTAGTTGCAGTAAGATACTGCATACATGGAGGTTCCCTGCATATTATGGAAAGTGTGCAAGTTGTAAATGAAACCCTAGTTAAAAAAAAAAAATCTATTAAATGAAACCGGGCAAACAGCTTTCCCCCTTTAGATCTAGAAAAATTCCCAGGTTTTTGTCTTCCTAGTCTAGTGTCTATTACATTGGGGAAATCCCTTCGATACTATATACACCCAGGAGAGTCTTTTGTGATTGCAAAACATATTCTCCTCTCTCTTCCCTTTTAAGATAAATTCCTCAAGGTGAATTCTCATTCCTAGGTAGGGAAAAAAAAAACTCTTCCAAACATCACTGATTTGCTAGTAGGCCCTAAGTATTGCCAGTAGATGGCAGTGTGAATCCAGTGGAAACAGGTAAGGTGCCTGTAGAGGGGAGGAGCAGGGAGGGTGAAGGGTGGAGAGGGGAGGGCATTAAACATTGCCTGGCAGCCATTTTGTTAATTTATTTTGCCTTTTCCCTTGACTTTGCCCTGCCACCCTTCCTTCCCATACATCAAAGACGAAAAATGCAAGTGCAAGGATAACTCTAATTCAGGCTGAAATTTCCTGACACTGTGATCTCACTGGCATTAATTACAGAATTTGACATACACTGGTTCGTTTGCCATTTATTTTTTCCTGAGTGGATCATGAAGGAAATAAAACTTTCTCTTCTCTTATGCGAAGAACTTTCCCAATAGTTTCTGTTATGACCACCTTCCAGGAGTTTTCTAGTCGCCAGGGTCACTTGGTAAAGTTCAATATGTAATCCTTAGCTGTGAAAGTTGTTCCTGGACAAAATTTGACCTCCCTAATACCCTGAAGAATCAGCAGGTGGAGACAACCGGCCTGTCAATTGCTTCTTCCTGCACCCTGGTGGTGTTGGGGTAACTCTCAATCCCCATGAAAACCTTCTGTTGTCAGGTCTCCCCATGTGACATCTTACAGTGGCATGATAGAAAAGGGGTGAATTTGAGAGTCAGATCTACTTACTGTGTGAACTTGAGAAAGATGCTTAACTTCTCTGAGCCTATTTCTTCATCTGTAAAAGTGGGGCTAACATTACCTACCTCACAGGGTTGTTGTGAGGATTAAAAAAGATAACATGTGGAAGCACCTAGCCATACCTAGCAAATAGGTACTCAATAAATACTGGTTTTTCTTCCCTTTCCTCTTGCCCTTTTTCCCCATAAGTATTGATTATGGGAAAGCATTCCCTTTTATTCTGACAGTTATTAGGGAATGACTAGGAGTCTTTTCAAACTTTGAAAAACTGGTATTAAGTTATGGGGTTGAGGTTGTTTAAGGTGGGTCTCATGAAACCTTTCTAATTATTAAATCATCACCATATAGACCTTTCTGTTGGGACCTTATATTCTACGGTTTAGATTATATTAGGGAAAAATTTTGTAATCACAGGAAAAGGTTTCGGGGGCTATAAGAGTTTCCCTCCTTAGACTGTATGGTGAAGAGTATTTGTGGGGCTATTGGTGGGAAAGGTAATTTAGGGTCACCCTCATGGTAGTACCCAGGATTACAAGTGAAAAAAGCTATCAGTCTGGGGCTTTCATAGGGGGTTTATTAATTTTCAAGTAATGTGAGAACTGAAAGGCACATTTTACTAGACGTTCCCTTCTTATGTGGTACTGCAACAGTAAATTTTAGGAGATTCACAGGTTGCACTGGTTTGTTTTGGGGTGTGGGGCCGAGGCTGACTAATCTTGGTACAAGTCCTAAGCCCCTTACGCAGAACGATCTGTGTGTGGAGCGCTATAACGGGCTTTTATGTATTGGGAAAGGCAGCATGGAAATTTTATGGAGGAACTGCACGGCTACCTTTCAGGTAAAATCTGCTAGCGATTTCAGGATGCCCTTTGCCAACAACATAGTAGCTGGACAACTCTCAAGCCCACAGAAATGTGCACGTAACGGCACCAGGACCGGCGAGCAGGCGGCAGTGGGCCTGAGAAGGTAGAAAGAGATCGCTAAACTAGGCGTGGTCGGTCTTACAGATGTCGGATGTGGCCAGGACCCAGGCTCTGCAGTCTGTTCCCATCCCATAGATCTGGCTGAGTAAACCCCGGCAGAGACCGTGTCCTACACTTGGCCAGGGACCCCGAGTTGGCCAGTGAGAAATTCCCAGCAGAAATTTCCGTGCGGATGGTGGGCTCTTACCGGGTATCCCGCCCCCACCCCCCACCCCGCTCATCCAAAGCAGGGCTATGTGACCTTGGAAGGGTGCTATGAACTGAAAAAGACAGTCCCTAGTTTTTGTTTTTTTTTAAGACAACCGAAAACATGAAAAAAGACTAAGGTTAAGCAGCGGAAAGCGAGCTTCACGGGACCTGGATAGTCAGCGGAACCACAGGCGGGGTTCACCGTCTCCCTCCCTGTACTTCCGCTTCCGGTTGTTCCTCCAGCTGGAAAAGCTTGAGCAGTAACAGCAGCGGGGCGCTGCCGGAAGTGTCGTAAACACCGGATATCCGGGAGCTCCAGGGGCTCCAGGAGCTGACGGAGAGGGCCGCCGCCCAGCAGTAGACGCCGTCTCAGCCGGCGGAAGCTCAGTTCTCGGTGTGTGAGTGAGCCCCAGCCCGGTCCCCTCTCCCGCCGCCGCCATGGGCTGCACGTTGAGCGCCGAAGACAAGGCGGCGGTGGAGCGGAGCAAGATGATCGACCGCAACTTGCGTGAGGACGGGGAGAAAGCAGCTAAAGAAGTGAAGCTGCTGCTACTCGGTGAGGGCCTGTGGGCGGGGCTGGCGGGGCTTTCGGGAAGGCCTAGGTTATTGGGGGCTTTGAGGGGAGTCAGGCCGGGATGGCGGAAAGGACCCCGAAGTGGGTGGAGGGCCTGACGAGCGTGGGGTGGGGTGTTGGGTTGGTGGCTGAGGCTCCGGAGGGCGTGATGAGCGGGTGGGGTTTTCAGGTTATAGGCTAGAGAGGGTGTGACTCCGTGCTGGAAATGCATTTAGCGAAGAAAGTTTGGAAGTGTGGGGAAATAGGACATTGAGACTGTGTTAGATAGATAGGAAAAGCTAACAAAGAAAGGGAAGACTATTAGGGAGGGTTTTGCAAGGGGTTGGAGTGTGTTGGTAGCAAGGAGGACCGGATAGAATGTGTTGGGCTTGTATAATGACTTTGGAGTTTGGAGCGTGGTGATACTTTATGACAGGTTAGAGCTGGGTGGCTTGAATGATTAATATCAATAGAGGGGCTGGGCCAGAGTAGTCACAAAAGGATCCTCTCATTTATTAGAGAGTGGGCAGTTCGAACTGTTGGTAAAGTGGAAGAACCCTAGCTTATCTAGCTAAATGACAAGTTCTCGGGTATAAAGGAAAAGAGCTTGGTTGCAGAGGCTGCCTATTGTTTTCCACCTTTTTCTATCACTTTTATTTTCTTAAGGTTTTTATTTTTTAAAACTTTGTTTATTTTTTATTTTTATTCATTTTTTTAGAGAGAGAGAGGAAGGGAGAGAGAGCTAGAAACATCATGTGAGAGAGAAACTTAGATTGATGGGCTGCCTCCAGCATGCCCCTAACTGGGGATGGAGCCTGCAACCCGGGCATGTGCCCTGACCGGGAATGGAACTGGGACTTCTCAGTCCATGGGATGACGCTCAATCCCCTGAGCCACACCTGCTGGCTCTCTAAGGTTTTATGACCCCCTTCTCTTGGTTTTGTAAAGAGGAGATGGTATGGCCCTGGCCAGTTTGGTTCAGCGGTTGAGCGTCGGCCTGTGGACCAGAGTCCCAGGTTCCGTTCCTGCTAGGGGCACGAACCACACACACACAAAAAAAGAGGAGATGGTGTGAGCTGAGAGAATCTAAGGACTGCCTTGCTTGATGTTTGTGGCAAAAGACATAGTAAGTGATAAATTACACATTGGTGGTTGCTGAATAGTTGTTAGGGATGATGTGCAGTGGGAATGGAGTTACTTTAGGATAAGTTAAGAAGCCGGACACATTTACTGTAAAGACTGACAGACTTCTGGTGAGGTGTTTTATCTTTTTTGGTTGCTTCAAATGAAAAACGCTGGCTTCGGTAATAAATTACTGTTTATTTTACCCCACGTTCGTTTTCAGTGGATTTTAGGTACAGTCATATGCATTTTACTCAGTGTGCTTAGTTTTTCTTTTTTATCCTCACCTGAGGACATTTTTTTTTGGCATTTATCTTCAGATAGAGCGGGAGGGAGGAAGAGAGAGAAAAACATCGATGTGAGAGAGACACATCGAGTGGCTACCATCCACATGACTCCAACCGGGGCCAGGGACAAACTGCAACCTAGGTACGTGCTCTTAGCAGGAACCAAAACCAGGCCTCTGGTCTGAGGGCCAACGCTCTAACTGCTGAGCCAAAGCGGCCAGGGCTAGTTTTAAAATTTTTTGAGAGGCTGGCTTCTAGAGGCTCAGTAAACCCTATAAAGTACTCTAGCATCAGCTTACCAATAAACCAAGTCACATTTTTTCACTATAAGTATTCTCTAGGGATCTGTTGGAGAAGAATAAGTAGGAGTCATGGTTTCTGTAAGCAGGAGAACTTTACTTTTTTTTTTTTTTTTTTTAATCCTCGCCCGAGGACATTTTTCCATTTTTTGTTCAGATAGAGCGGGAGGGAGAGAGAGAGAGAAACATCGACGTGAAGGGACACATCGAGTGGCTGCCACCCGCACGACCAACCAGGGCTGGGGACAAACTGCAGCCGAGGTACGTGCCCTTAGCGGGAACCGAACCCGGGTCTCTGTGTACCACAGGCCGACGCTCCAACCGCTGAGCCAAACCGGCCAGGGCAGAACTTTACTTTTTAAAACGATTGATTTTTGAGCAAAGGTTGCTTTAGGAGAGGTGCTCCACCATAACCTAATTTTGTACTCCAAAATGTGTTGGGTCTCATGCTGTTCTCTTCATATTAACCTTTTTGGTGATTTGTAGATTGTAGAAGCACTGGTAACAACTTTTTGGATGTAGCAGGGAAAGTTACACATTAGAGCTTGGGCTTTCTGTTTGAATACCTGATATTTCAGAAAGCATGAATTCAAATTGTAGTTGTAGACAGCCACTCTCTCTGTAACAAGTATTTGTGAGGTAGCATGGTCCCTGGCACATGCTCTTTAAATACTGTTTATGTTGGACATTGCCCCATGGGACCTTTCAGGTGTTTGGTATACACCACAATACTCAAGGCATTAGCATTGTCTATATTGACTAGTTGGTTATAAAATTAAAGGTGTATCTCATATTTTGTGAATGTTTTGATTTATATTGACCATCAGAGATCCCCTCAGGATATTAGCCTGTTATAATTGAGTTGTAAACTGTGAGACTTTCTTCCAAGTGGCAAGATTTGGCAGGCAGAACTTGTCCAAGTGTCTACAAAAATTTTTATTCAGGGCTTTATAAATAGTGCATTTAATTAAAAACAAAATGAAACACATGATAACTTAGGGAACCTCAAAAGCAGTAAGTAAAAAAAAAATCCAAATACTAAAGCATTTGCTTTTCATTTTTATCCATTTCATTGTTTTAAGTAAGATTTTTTATTATTCTTGAACAAGTTTAATCAACCAATTCAAATAGGTTACAGCTACTGTTGCTTGAATCAAGTCATAATGCACATAAGAAATTCAAGTTTTCTCCCTTACTATTTCTATAAGCAAAATGCACCCATAACAGTATACAAAGAATTTTCTTTTTGCTGTAGAATACCTCCTTTGATGTACACGTAAATCATTTTTACTGCATCACTGTGAAGCAATCGAATGCAGTCGAAGTTGAGATCTATTTACTTGCTCTTGTCTTTCCTGGCACAAATAGGTGTTCATTAAATATTACTGTGTTTTCTTCCTTGCAGGGATGTAGTTTAGCATATGTTTAACAGCATGGGCTTTGAAGTCAGACTGTTTCAAATTCTAATTCCCATTCACCAGCTCCAACCTTGGGAAGGTTATTTATGCAATTTCTCTCTTCTTTAGTTTCCTCCTTTTTTAAAAAAAAATTTATTTTTTCTTTATTGATTTTACAGAGAGAGGAAATGAGAGGGAGAGAGAGATAGAAACATCAATGAGAGAGAACATCGATTGACTGCCTCCTGCATGCCCCCGACTGGGGATCGGGTCCACAACCTGGGCATGTGTTCTGACCAGGAATCGAACTGGTGACCTCTTGGTGCATGGGTCGACACTCAACCCCTAAGCCACACCTGCCGGACTAGTTTTCTCATCTTTAAAATGCAGAAAATAGAGGCACTTCATAGGATTGCTGTGAGGGTTAAATATGGTAATAATGTGAAGTAGACACAGCTTGATATACTGTATTAGCTCAGTGGCTATTAGTTATTTTTGTTGTTATGAAATAAAAATGAATGTTACAGATGACAGGTACTATGAAATTCAGATTAAGAAACTAGTGTGGGCTGAATTAGTTAAGGAAGACTTCACTGTTACAATTCTTTGATTACTTTTGGTTTGAATTTCCTTTAGATCTGTTATTTGGAGTATCTCGATATGCCAAATTAGTGATTAAGCATAATATTCTTTTTTTTTTTTTTTTTTATCCTCACCCGAGGACATTTTTTCATTTTTGTTCAGGTAGAGTGGGAGGGAGAGAGAGGAACAGAGAGAGAGAGAGAGAAACATCGATGTGAAAGGAACACATCGAGTGGCTGCCACCCACACGACCGACCAGGGCCGGGGATAAACTGCAACCAAGGTTCGCGCCCTTAGCGGGAACTGAACCCGGGTCTCTCAGGACCGCAGGCCGACGCTCTAACCGATGAGCCAAACCGGCCAGGGCCATAATATTCTATTGAAAGACAAAATTATATTTTGCAAAGCTTCCCAACCAGAGTGCACTACATAGGATGGCATACAAGTGTGTTGTTAGCAAAATTTTAAAATAGTTTTGAAATTTTAAATCATATTTTATAATTTTTCATTACAAGAGTTGAAATATTTTTGTTATGATTCCTTTTGTAAAATTTCTGAATTTGATATTGAAAATATTTTCATTTGGAAAGTTTATACCAGTTAGTATTTGATATCATCTGTAATACTTTGTGTTTTATTTTTCATGCCATAATTAATATATGAAAATAAATATTATTTTCACCAAGCCCTCCAGCTTACCTCAGTAAGCCTCACAAATATTATCATTTTCAGTGTGTGCCATGATGTAACAAAGTTGGGAAGCATTGCTATAATGGACAAGAGCACTGCTTTTGCAGTCATGTAAAACAGAATTCAATTCCCACCTCCATTTATTAACTGTATGAGTAAGAGGTAACTTAACCATATGAGCCTTAATTTTCACACCTATAAAGTGGGGATAATGATGCCCATTTTATAATATGAAATGAGATGATGTATGTAAAATGCTTAGTGGACAAATGTTCAGTAAATGGTGACCTCTGTTATTACAATGTTTGTAAAGCTTATCGTTTTTACTACTATTTTCAAGGGTTTCAGGCAGATATTTAATTATTTTTCAAATATTAATATACTCTTTTTAAAGATTTTTTTTAAATTTTATTTATTTATTTTTTATCCTCACCCGAGGACATTTTTTCGATATTTTGTTCAGATAGAGTAGGAGGGAGAGAGAGAGAAAAAAACATTGACGTGAAAGGGACACATCGAGTGGTTGCCACCCGCACGACCCAACCAGGGCCGCGGACAAACTGCAACCGAGGTACATGCCCTTAGCGGGAACGCAGGCCGACGCTCCAGCCGCTGAGCCAAACTGG